CACTTAGAGACCATCTGGTGGATCCACATCCCTGACTCTCGGTCTCTCAACTGCCTGTGAACCCCCTAGACAACGCACCACCACCGACTCTCTTGTCCCCTCCTGGAGTGAGCCAGGAGCTCTATTCTCTCACTTTATCTCTAAATAAAAGTCTGTACCTTGCTCTCTTACCTTGAGTGTTTGTGAAGCTCATTCTTTGGATTTGTGAACAAGAACCCCGGCATCACTGCGATGTAATAAGTTATAAGAAATACATCTTCCCCAGGTATATTTGGTCTTCATCCACAGTTCCTGAACACACTGCAGTCTTAAAGGTGAAGTGGGTGTTTTGTCATGTTAAATGAGAGTTTTGGACCCCCACCCGAGGGCAAGGGCTGGAGGCTGAATCAGCCAATGGCCTATAATTTAGTCAATCATGACTAGGCAATGAAACCCTCCCAACAGCCCCAGAGAAGAGTATTTGCTCCGTCTCCGCTCAGTTGGACCCTGCTTCTCCGCTGGGGAGACTTCTGTACTTGGGGAATCAGAACGCCTCCACGTGCCACCGAGCCAGGCCCCAAACTCCATGAGGACGGAAGCTCCTTTACTTGGGACCTTGCCTTATGCCTCCATCCGGCTGGTAACTCATATCCTTTATGGTGTCCTTTATTAAATGAGTAAACGTTAAGTGTTTTTTCCTGAGCTCTGTGAGCCACTTGAGCAAATTAATTGAATCTAAGGGGGAGGTTGTGGGAACCTCTATAGTCTGTAGCCGGTAGGTGAGAAGCACGGGTTTGCAACTGGCGTGTGGAGTAGCAGGTGGAGGGGTAGTCTTGTAGGACGGGAGCCCTTAACCTGGGGATCTGCTGCTGTTTCCAGGCAGACAGCCTCAGAATTCAGCTGACTTCTCCAACACCCTGCTGGTGTTCGAGAACTGCTTGGTGTTGTCAGGGGGACCGTTGTGGAGTTTCCTCAGTCCTAGTCCCCTGCCGCAATGAAGAATTGGAGGGCAGAGACACAGTAGTGAAACAGAGTAAAAGTTTTATTTAAAGTTACTTAGAGAAAAAGTGCAGCAGGTGACCTCAGGGAGGTGGGGCGGCTTGAAAGGTTTAAGTTTTATTGAGAGAAAGTCTACGCACTTAGGAAGTGTGGGCTGCCTCAGAGAGAGGAGCACCCCGAAAGGTTGGGGGTTCCCCCTTTTAAGGATTTTTCGGGAATGTGACCAAGGGCTGGGGGTGCAGACCTGTTAAGTGGTCCCCAAATGTTTAAAATTAACACAAGAAATTTACTGCTCTGATTTCTCACTGAGATACCAGAGTCTTGGTCTGGGAGCTTTCAAACAAGACCACCTGCCCAGCCCCCAAGGTGGGCTGAGTTATTATTGTCTCTTTGCTAAGGAGTATGTTTAAAAATCTTACTTCTTAACTTCCTGGGTTTTAAAATGCAATCTTATCTTGAAGATGGAATCTTTCTTGCTTTTACTATGTTGTTTATGGCTGGGCCTGCTTGTCATATTAATTGCCTAGGTTGTAAATTACTTGATTAGGGGCTGGAGGAGGAAAAAAAAAAGCTTACCGGTTAGGTTAAAGAATAAGCTGGGCCTGCATGATTAACACAATAAAGACGTGGGCTCTGCTGAGGTACCCTCCTGTATCTGGGGAATATTCAAACATTCCAGGCCAAGTCACTCCTGCCTTTTTGAGCTTTAACTGATTAACTCATTAACTCTGGTTCACTTCTCACTGCTCAATTTATAACGTTTGTCTCTGTGCTTTTCCACTGATAAATATCTATGTTACTTTGCTTTTTCATTCTAATCCTCCGGATTTAAACCCAAACTTTCATCTCTCTATCCTATTTCAGATAAGTAGGGAGGGGCTGCTGAGAGGTCAGATCCAGGCTTGCAAATTACCATTGCCTGGGTGACCCGGGACTGCAGTTTATGGTCCTGCTCTTTAGTAGCCTGCCTGAAAGTCCCCTTTCTTTGCCTCTAGGAAGTTCGCAGAACATAATCTTACTCCATCCAGTGCTCTGTGGCATCCCCCCAAATCCTGGGGGTGGTGGGGACTCAGTTCTCGTGCTGTGCAGATCCAAGTGGACACGATGCCAGGCGACACTGGCTTAAGGAGTTATTAGGGGAAGTGCCCCATGCTGAGTGGCAGTTCAACTAACTTCCTTTACTATTCTGATCTGTCATTCCCTGACACTCTTGCTTTAATAAATTCCTTTCTCACCTTGTACTTTGACTTCCCTGCATCTCTGAACCAACTTCCCCCACAACAGAGGGGGGCATAAGGGACAAAGGAGACAGGCTGTTGGCATAGTAATAAGTAAACCAGAAAGTGTTAAAAGGGAATACATGCTGCTGAGACAGGGACCACCGTGGGTGTAGTCAGAGGAGGGTGAGGGCCTCCGGAAAAAAACCCCTATCAAAACTCCATATTAAACAATTAAAGACAGAGTCACATTAATTCTCTAAAGTAAAATATCAAACTAGGAATTTACGCATTCTTCAGTAAAGATTAGTTAAAACTAAAAAGCCAGGAATAACCTGGCCTGGAATGTTTGAACATCCCCCAGATAGGAAAATACCTCAGCATAGCCCATGTCTTGTTTGTGTGAATTAAATGAGGCTGTTGTAAAATTTACTTTAGCAGCTAAAAGGCCCAGTTTATCTTTAACTTTACCCAGATGCTGCTTTTCCTGCTCCAGCCCTAATCAAGTCAGTAACTCAGCTCACCTTGAACGCAAGACAAGCAGCCTTGACTGATATGCTCCCAAACCAAGAAGCTGCTATTCTGAGAAAGGATCAAAACAGTAAATTTCTTATGTTAACTCCACAAAATAGTCTGAAAAACCGATAAGAAATTTTGTGTCTCTTTGAAAATAAACACTTAGAGACCATCTGGTGGATCCACATCCCTGACTCTCGGTCTCTCAACTGCCTGTGAACCCCCTAGACAACGCACCACCACCGACTCTCTTGTCCCCTCCTGGAGTGAGCCAGGAGCTCTATTCTCTCACTTTATCTCTAAATAAAAGTCTGTACCTTGCTCTCTTACCTTGAGTGTTTGTGAAGCTCATTCTTTGGATTTGTGAACAAGAACCCCGGCATCACTGCGATGTAATAAGTTATAAGAAATACATCTTCCCCAGGTATATTTGGTCTTCATCCACAGTTCCTGAACACACTGCAGTCTTAAAGGTGAAGTGGGTGTTTTGTCATGTTAAATGAGAGTTTTGGACCCCCACCCGAGGGCAAGGGCTGGAGGCTGAATCAGCCAATGGCCTATAATTTAGTCAATCATGACTAGGCAATGAAACCCTCCCAACAGCCCCAGAGAAGAGTATTTGCTCCGTCTCCGCTCAGTTGGACCCTGCTTCTCCGCTGGGGAGACTTCTGTACTTGGGGAATCAGAACGCCTCCACGTGCCACCGAGCCAGGCCCCAAACTCCATGAGGACGGAAGCTCCTTTACTTGGGACCTTGCTTATGCCTCCATCCGGCTGGTAACTCATATCCTTTATGGTGTCCTTTATTAAATGAGTAAACGTTAAGTGTTTTTTCCTGAGCTCTGTGAGCCACTTGAGCAAATTAATTGAATCTAAGGGGGAGGTTGTGGGAAGCTCCAGTCGGCATCCAGTAGGTCAGAAGCAGAAGGAATTGCCTGGGGCTGGCGACCAGCGTCTGGACTGGAGGTGTGGAGGGCAGTCCTGTAGGACAGAGTCCTTGACCTGGGGGATCTGGGGCTGTCCCCAGGCAGACAGCCTCAGAATTCAGCTGACTTCTCCAACACCCTGCTGGTGTTCGAGAACTGCTTGGTGTTGTCAGGGGGACCGTTGTGGAGTTTCCTCAGTCCTAGTCCCCTGCCGCAATGAAGAATTGGAGGGCAGAGACACAGTAGTGAAACAGAGTAAAAGTTTTATTTAAAGTTACTTAGAGAAAAAGTGCAGCAGGTGACCTCAGGGAGGTGGGGCGGCTTGAAAGGTTTAAGTTTTATTGAGAGAAAGTCTACGCACTTAGGAAGTGTGGGCTGCCTCAGAGAGAGGAGCACCCCGAAAGGTTGGGGGTTCCCCCTTTTAAGGATTTTTCGGGAATGTGACCAAGGGCTGGGGGTGCAGACCTGTTAAGTGGTCCCCAAATGTTTAAAATTAACACAAGAAATTTACTGCTCTGATTTCTCACTGAGATACCAGAGTCTTGGTCTGGGAGCTTTCAAACAAGACCACCTGCCCAGCCCCCAAGGTGGGCTGGGTTATTATTGTCTCTTTGCTAAGGAGTATGTTTAAAAATCTTACTTCTTAACTTCCTGGGTTTTAAAATGCAATCTTATCTTGAAGATGGAATCTTTCTTGCTTTTACTATGTTGTTTATGGCTGGGCCTGCTTGTCATATTAATTGCCTAGGTTGTAAATTACTTGATTAGGGGCTGGAGGAGGAAAAAAAAAGCTTACCGGTTAGGTTAAAGAATAAGCTGGGCCTGCATGATTAACACAATAAAGACGTGGGCTCTGCTGAGGTACCCTCCTGTATCTGGGGAATATTCAAACATTCCAGGCCAAGTCACTCCTGCCTTTTTGAGCTTTAACTGATTAACTCATTAACTCTGGTTCTTTTTTAGTGTGCTTTCCTGGCCTCACTCTCTTTCCACCCTGCCTAACGGTGTTAGTGTGTGTGTGGAGACCCCCTGTGGCTAAAGTGAAGGTTCCTGTGGCCAGGATTCTCACCTGACCCTTGTCAGCTAGCTCACTACACACAAGTGGGCAATACGTCGTTACTGATTCTATATAAAGAGCTCTGCCCAGTGCCTTGGGTGACACAGTGGCATGGCTGCAAGCCTGCAGGAGAGCAGAGCAGAGGCTGGAGTGGTGGCAGCGCTGAGGTCAGAGGCCCAGAGGACGGCTGTGTGGGATGGCTGTGTAGGCAGGGAGGCCCAGAGGCAGAGACCGGCTTGCTGCACGCAGACTTGCTCTGAGTGGACGGGATTCTAGTGATTGATCCGCCACTGTGGAAATAAAGTTGGGTATAACCCAATCACCCCAAGAACATTTTGCTGTCATTTCTTCGGTCACATTGAATCCATAGTGAACTTGCCTGGGGCTGAAACCCATTGGCAAGACTCCCCCTCCCGCACACTTACACACATTGTAATCAGGTCCAGGAACCCGAATGGAGTTATAATACTACTATTACTGCCATGTATAATATTGTCATACATATATGTAGGGAAAAAATACACCATTGTATCTGGTGTTGGACGAGAGGGAAAAACACATGCTATGGAGAAAAGGGAAAGCAGAGTGAGGGGGTCCGGGAGAGCCGGCTGCCGAGGGGGTGCGACCAGAGCGGAGGCCGGAGAGTGCTGAGGGAGGAGCCCCAGCAGATGCACAGGTCCTGGCAGGCTGCACCTAGCAGGCTGCGCCACCAGCAAGAGGCCAGTGTGGCTGGGGTGAGTCGGTGGGGACTGGCTGGGTGGGGACAGAGGCCTTGGGGGCCTCAGTGCAGCCACTGGTCCCACCCTTCTAGCTAAAGATTCTAGAGGCTCTGATTTCAAAAGTAAGGTGCTGTCTTCACCTTGCAATAGAGACAGAACCCGTGGCCTCTTCTGCTTCAGAAGTTTTAATTATGAAGAAAAAATCAAATTCCAGGCATTGAGAGCAGTCTGGTGGGGCATGGCAGGCCATGTTTGGTAACACCACATCCAAGGGACCAGCAGATGATCATGAGAAGGATCACGGGCCACGGAACCAGCTTTTGAACTGCCACGGAGCCACAGAAAGAGCAGCATTTCTTCCTCTGGTTCTTGCCAAGCGAGGTCTCTTGACAGTAGCTGCTGTGTGCGTGCCTGCTGCCTCGGGGCCCAGCTGGAACCTTCTGTAATTCCATCCTGTGCTGTGGGACGTGGGATTGATCTCAGAAGAGCCGATGGCGAGAGCATCGTGATGGGGGCCTCCATGTGCCCTCGATTTGGATGGAAGCAGCACATAAATAGCTGTTGGGATATTAATCACATGAAAATTGTGCCCAGGATTTCCCAGGGCAGCCGGGTAAGCCTGTGAGTCAATTGTTAATTACCCACGGCTGACGCTTCTCATTCGGGGATTCTTCCATCTCTCACTCAGCGCCCGAGGCTGGTCATGAGGCCCTGGGCTGTGCTCGGCAGAGGTTAGCTGGGTGATGCAGATTTAATTGCTGCTTATGCGTTTCTTAAAAAATCTAAAGTGTGCGTAACATGAAATTTACCTTTTTAGCCATTTTTAAGGGTCCAGCTCAGTGTCATTTAGCACATTCATATTGTTGTGAAAACATCCCCACCGTCTATCTCCAGGCTCTTTTTGTCTTGCAAAACTGAAGCTCTGTCCCCATGAAACACTGACTTTCCACTCCCTCCTCCAGCCCCTGGCAACCATCGTTCTACTTTCTGTCTCTATGAATTTGACTCCTCTTGGGACCTGCAGAGAAAATGAAAGTGCCTATGGCCAGAGTTCTCGCCTGACCCTTGTCAGCATGCTCACGTGTGGGCAGTACATTATTACTGACTCTATATGAAGAGCTCCACCCAGTGCTCTGGGTTGAATGGCTGCAGGAGGGCAGAGGCGGGAGTGGTGGCAGCGCCCAGGACAGAGACAGACACGGCTGCGGGGACACAGAGGCCTGGAGCCAGAGACGGGCTGGCCGCATGCAGACTTACCCTGAGGCAGATGGAATTCTAGAGTCTGACCTACCACTGTGGGAATAAGGTTGGGTATAAACCTCTTCACCCCAAAAATATTTTTTTGTCATTTTTCAGGCTCACCAAATCAAGAGTAAACTTGCCCCAGGGCTGAAACTCATTGGTGAGACAGGATCTCATATAAATGGAATCATATACTATTTATCTTTTTGCACTAAACATAATGTCTGTAAGGTTCATCTAATTGTGGCATAGGTGAGAATATCCTTCCTTTTAAAGTCTGAAAAATATTACCCACGTTTTGTTATTCATCTGTGGATGGATACTTAGGTTATTTCCACATCTTGGCTATTGTAAATAATGCTGCAGTGAACTTGGGGGTGCCGTATCTTTTCAAATAAGTGTTTTTGTTTCCTTTGGATAAATACTCCCAAGAGGAATTGCTGGATCCGATGGTAATTCTATTTCTGACTTTTTAAGGAACTGCTATACTGTTTTCATCAGCAGCTGCACACCACTTCACAACCCCATTAAGAGGACACAGGAGCTCTGATTTCTCTATGGCCTTGTCAGCACTTGTTATTTTGTTTTCTTGATAGTAGCCATCCTAATGGGTGTGAGGTGGTGGTCAGTGTTAAAAGGCTGCTTCTGCCCTCCTAGAAACGTGTCCTGGGTTTGTGAAGTTACTAGATGAACTTGGGAGCAGCCCCAAGGAGAATACCAGATACTCCCAGGACAGCGGAAACCCTTCCCCTGGGAGAATCAGAGCCCCTGAGGCCCCACCCTGCCCCATCTTTCCCAGGGTCACCCTGCTGCCTGACGTGCATGTGCATGAGATGGTCTGGGAACAACCGGCTTGGTCAGAGACAGTTCTCTCTGCAGCTCGGCGTTGGACAACCTGTTTTGCTGCAGTCTCATAGATGCCACTCCCAGGCTTAATTTGCACTGTGTTGTGAGGACAGTGGAAGTCACTGAGGAGAGTCTACAGGAGAGGTGAGGAGGCGGGCTGGGTGGGGCAGCCTGCTGCTGAATCCTAGGGCCACATGTGCATCTATACAAACCCCGGGGCACAGGCCACGAGTCATCCTTGCTAAGGCCCTCTGGTGAACAGTGAAAGTAAAAGGATGGTCAGAAGCTGTCTTCAATCAGTGCTTCTCAGTGGGGGATGATTTTGTCCCCCAGTGGGCATCTAGCCACATGTGGATGTGTTTTGATTGCCAGAACCCTGGTTTTGAGGGGGAGGAGGGCAGGAAAAGGGATTTTTTTTTTAATGGGAAATATTTTTATTTCAAAAAGTATTGAAAGTATCCTACAATCTTAAACAGGATTCTGGATGTAAGCCTACAGAACAGACAAGTAAATACACAAATCTGCCCCATCATTTGGAAGCTGGAACTGGATGTTGGACACTGGCACTGGAGAGGGGATGTCCTTTTTCATGTAAGATTCTCTGGGGTGACATAAATACAGAACCCTTTGTTGTAGTAGATCAGGATTAAATTCTAGGCACTGAATTTTCATAATTTATCTCGTAGACTGATAAGGTTTTGTCCATGTCACATGTAGAGATGGTCCCACCCCAGCTGGCCCAGCTTCTGTCTCCAAATCTCCAAATCAGTGTACGGACATCTGTAAGTGGGAGGCTTCAGAGCCTAGGGGCGTGCCCAGGGGCAGTGGGGAGCACAGTGGGGGAGACAGAGCCTGTGTTTCGGAGGGGCTGCCCCTGGTCCCGACCCCAGCTGGAGCCAGAGGGCTCTGCTGTTGCCTCTCTTTCTTATCCTTGTTTTTTCTTTTTCTGTAGTATTTTTTTAATCAAGTTAATTTGTTTTTAAAAATTGAGGTATAACTGACATACGACACTTACTAGTTCCAGTCGAACAACTTAACAATTCGACATTTGTGCATATCACAAAGTAATCACTGTGATGGGGGTCCTGGTGGCGCAGACACAGAGGAGCACGACGCAGGCTCAACCCTGTTCCTCCCTCACTGGCGTCCACCAAACCAGCCATCATCCAAGCAGCTCCTGAATAATGGGATGGCTGGTCACATGATGCTTGTCACTGTGAGCTACCGAAAAGATGAGAGAGAGCAGGAACCCAGGAGCCCCCTGCCACGAGGGACCTGAAGGCCAAAGGCCCAAGCCCCAAGCTCGCACTCAGGTGCAAGCCCAGCCCCAGCCTTAACCAGGGCTACTGCGCCACACTGTACAGTCACAAAATAACCCCTACAATAGGATTATTTGACACCAACCATCAGTGATGCTGTGTTGAGAACCCCTAACTTAGATTGTCTTTTAACAAGCCCTTGAGAAATGGGTCCAATGCGGGACAACCCCTACATACACCTCCTGCTTATTTCACCACCACAGAAGCGGGAGAAATGGTACCTTTTAGATATTTTCAGCTTAACCTCCCCATGGCCAGCTTCATACTGTCAAAGGAGTGAAAACAGAGCTCCTCTGCCAGCCTTAGAGATGAAGGCTGAATTTGTCCATATGTCCACACCAAATATGTCTAGAGAATCATGTCCCCGTACCCACACGTTTCTAGCCTGTTTTGGTGATGTGATGGTTCCTTTTAGGTGTTGACTTAGCTGGGCCACAGTGTCTGGGTATTTGGTAGAACATTAGTCTGGATGTTTCTGAGAGGGTGTTTTTGGATGAGATTCACGTTTAAGTCTGTAGAGTTTGAGTAAATCCGATTGCCCTTTATAAAGTAGGTGGGCCTTGTCCAGTCAGTTGAAAGACTGAGTGGAAAAAAGACTGGCCTTTCTCAGGCAAAGGGGGTTCTGCCAGCAGATGGCCTTGGAGCTTAAACTGCGGCATTAACTCTTCCTGAGTTTCCGGCCTGCCGATTTTGGACTTGCCAGTCTCCATAACCATTGAGTCAATGCCTTAATATCATTCTGGAGTCTCCTCTCAGCGACCAGACCAGATCTGAGTTTACAGACCCTGCCCTGACGTGTGATCTAGTTCAAGTATCTTAAACTCTGGGCTCACTTGCCTCACCCACGAAAAGGACACCAGGATGACAACAGGCTGAATCTTGACAGGATTTCATCACCAAACACAACCCGCAGCCCCCAGCAGTGACAGCATCCTCCAGGAGTTTGCCAGCAATGTAGGTTCTCAGGTCGCGTCCCACACCTGCTGAATCAGAGGCTCTGTGGGTGGGGCCTAGTGATTTGTGTGTTAATGGACCCCCTGGGGGATTCTGAAGGCCACACTGAAAATATATCTTCTAGCACATGCTTACATCTAGAATTTTAAAAAAGGTCATTTCAGTCATGTGGCCAAAATAGCTGGCAAGTTCCTTGTTGGAAGTATCCCTGCCTTCTCTGAGTTTTGGCAAACAGACAGGGTAAAGGCGAGTCTGTGGATTTGCCCCACTGAAATCACTGCTTCCACGGCTCTTCACAGTCTTTCCAGATGGTAAGACCCACCTTGGGCACTTTTAGTGAAAAATTCCAGAGCTCCACCTTAGAATGCCTCCAAATCCCCAGGAGATTCTCCAGGCTTGTGTTTTGAACCGCCTCGTTGGCATTTTGCTTACCTGGTGAATTTGGGAAGCACCGCACTGATGAGGCTCATGTTCTTTGTATATTTCTCTAGACCGTAGTCTCCAACAGAGCAGAGGAGCTGCATGATATCTGAAAATAAATCCACTAATGAACTAAGTCATTTTGGTTGAGTTGTCTTGCTATCCAATGTGACTGCAGCTCCCGGAAGGAAGGACCTCTTTCAAGTTTCTCCTAGCAGCTAAGGTATGACAGACAAGGGACCTGTTGCTCCGGGAGAAGGGGGTTCCCCACCCAGGGCAGGTTCACTATGAATTGTTTGAGACAGAAAGAAGAGCAAGAAGTTGGGGGCTTTAAAGGGGGTTCATACCACGTTTATTCTCACAGTGGTCGCCGGCTAAGTACAAGTGGCAAAGACAGGTCAGTGTTTCCTGGCACTGGGGCTCCACACCTCCCCTCCGCCAGCCTCTACTTTCTCCCAGTTCTCTTTCTAGGCTTCCCTTCTCCACTCTCCAGGCTCCCTGTTCTCACACCCCCGCACAACTTTCTGCCTGCTCTCACAGCCCTCTACTACCCCACCCCTGGCATGAGGAGGAACTCTGTGGGTGCGTCTCTATGGTGACTGGCAGATGCCCAACCAGTTACATACCACGAACTGAGGAGAGGAGATAATAAATGTTTCCTCTCTACCCCTCTCCTGGGCTGGTACTCCCGTGACGGCAGCCGCTCAGCTGCTCTGTCCCCAGCAAACATCCTGCAACTCTTGTAAGTATGCAAAGCAGGCTCTTATATATATTATATATTATATATTATATAATATATACACACACACACACACACACAAACGGGTGCTATTAAGGCCAGGTGGGAATCCTGGTCACAAATTTCCATTTACTCTACAGGATCCAACATCTTTAAAGATCACTGGCAAGCAGATGCTTGCCTCCTCAACCTACTGTTCATTTGCCCAAATTTACATTAAGTGCCAAAACCCAGATGAAGTTTGAAAATTAAAAGGAAACCTCATTTAAAATGGAATTAGGGGGGCCAGTAGGGGGCGCTCTGAAGCCCTATCACTGGAGAATATCTGCAGAACCAACAGGGTGAACTTGCAAGTGGATGCTGCTTTAGCTCTCACTTTTACTGCCCCAGAGGAAGGGTTCTCCCAGCCCCAGCAACAGCCCAACCAATGAGAGACTGTCACAACTCAGCCAATGAGAAGCCATGATACTTGGAACTCCCAGTTTACTTCAGTGGACTTGTGTTATAACAGCCCCTCCCAACCCCACCCCTTCCTCCATAAAATAGTGTTTAACTGCTTGTTCTCGGGACTTGCCTACGGTTTTGGCTTAGCTTGCACAGCCTAAACTGTAATTCCCTGCTATTCCAGAATAAGTCCACTTTTGTTGGTAAATAGCTGACAGTTTTATTTTTAAGGTTAACAAATTAAATGAGCCGACATTATACCCAGCTTGTGATACAAAAGCTAGGGCAGCTGAGTCCTACAGACTGTAGAAGGTTATGCATTGCTCCCTAGACTTTGAGGGAGCGTGTCACGATTAGCGTTTGAAGTGTTCCCTCATCCTGAATGGGCTGGGAAGAAGGGGAAGCTGTATGTATTCAGAATACTGATCAGATCCCAATGCTGCTTCTGTTGATTCTTCAGGGGTAAATACGCAGAAAGGCCACAAGAAGTGAGATGAGACACACAGTCACATAAGAGCAAGAGAAACAAATATTCCTAAATGAATGTGACAGGCCACTAAGCCCAAGTTTTCCTTGTAAACATTTCCCTAGACATCTCGCTAGCTTCCCTGAATAGCAGCTTCAAAACATCCAAGAAAATGCTAGCAAGTGATCAGCAGCTTTGTTTTAACTATGTTTATTAGACTTTTTAATCCCATAGAGCTTTAAGATCTTCATATATAGGTTAAAAATAATCTTTACTTACACTGCACAGTAGAAACACAAGTTTATTCTAAAATTTACACAAATGCAAAGTACCTGAAGTAGCCAAAACAGTTTTTTTAGAAAAAGAACATTGGAGGAATAACTGATTTCAAGATTTATTCTAAAACTACAGTAATCAAGACAGTGTGGACTAATCTTAAGGGTAGATCTATTGATGAGTGAACAGAACAGAGAACCCAGAATTCATTTTGGGGCTTAAAAAATCTTGTAACTTAAACAGTTAATTGATTTTTCCCGAAAGTGCCAAGGTAATTCAACCGGAAGGGGATGGCCTGGAACAATTGATTATCCCTATGGAAAATAATGAACTTCCATCTTGCCTTTTATCATACACACAAATTAACTCAAAATGTAGCACAGACACAAATAAGTGTTAAAGGCACCTGTTTTGCTTAAACTGGAATTCCAATGTACAGCCACGAGCAGTCACTGGTCTATACGAATGCTCCTGAGACATTTTGTCTTTAAAACAGGATTCTTCATGCTTCCTTGTCAGCTTCCATGTCCCCATTGTCTCAGCTGCAAAGAACGCTGGAGTTCATGCCTGACCCTCCTGCTTGCCCTCAGTTTCACCCCTACAATCTCTGTCCATTCTACCTCCACCACCTCGATTCCAGTGACGGCCACCACTCTCCACCCTGGGCCACTACAATGGCCTAAAGGCTCATTGCTTTCCATCCTTTCCCTCCAGCCCATGCCCCACTCCACAGCCAGAAGAACCATGGGATTCTTCTGATTAAACCCTTTCAACTGCTTCCCACTGTGCTCCAGAGAAAGCTAAAGATCTTGCTACAGCCCACACGGCCCTCCCGGGGGTGGCTGCTGCTGACCCTCACCCCCTATCAGAGCCACACGGGCCTTTGTTCCCATGCTCTTTTCCTCTCCAGGGTCCAGGCACATCGTGTTTCCCTGCTCTTGCTCATCCTTTTGGTTTTGGTGTTAAGTACCTCTTCCTTAGAGGAGTCCCACTGACTTCTCTTTCCCAGGAGGGCCCCATGTATGACCTCATTACATCCTGGGCTTTCCTTCCATTGCACTTACATTTTCCTGTCATGTGTCAGTGTGATTTATTTAGATAGGAGACAGTCAACTGAACTCATGGACTGAACACCCCACAGGCTGGAACCCCGCCTGCTCTGAACATGAGTGTAGACCTATGACAAACTCAGTGTTTAGCATGTCCAGGGCACTTAAGAAATACTACTTGGATGAATGAGACTGAGGTTTACACCCCACTGTGCATTACTCAACATTACGAGCCAAGGTTCAGAAAACTCCCAGGTGGCCTGCTTTCACTGATTCCTCAAAACCAACCAGTGGAAGTGCATGCCATTACTGTTTCCATTATACAGGTGAAGAAGGGGAAATGAAGTCAAGTCCAGTAAATTTCACCCCCTACTAACAGTGGAGTCAGGTTTTAAATCCAGGTCTCTCCTACTACAGCAAGCATTTCACCCTCTGCTCTATGATGCAAGTGACTCACCTTGGGCTTGGAGAGACTCAAGGAACTGATGCAGGCATGTTGCACTTTCAACAAGTTGCCACTCTCTATTCTGTCAATAAAATTATCTATTGTGTGGCAGAGAGGATGCTGGGTACTCAGTGCACACAATTGACATCCTTGACACTTAAACTGAGGGGAGGCAAACAAAGAGGGTACCCAAAAGATGTCAAGGAAAAGGGAGGCAGTGATCAACGCGGCTGCAGGCCTGAGATGGAGGCAGCTGAAACCTGAAAAATGAGGCAGAGCAGGTGCAAGAGAAGGGGTGGGACAGTCACAGTCTATGGGCCCTGTCCTTGGGGGAGCACTTGTCCACTGAGGGGCTAAATGAGGTGGTGCTGGAGACACTTTGAAAACACAGAAAAGAGGCCTAGATGCTCAGGGCCTCCGCACTTGGAACGAGGTTCTCTCCTCCCGCTGTTTCCACGTAAATGTCTTTGCAGCCATGTCCTCCTTGGCCGCCCCATTTAAAATCTCCACGCCCCTCCATGTCTCCATCTCAACACAATGAATTTGACCTATTTCTTTGGCTCTCGCCTCTCTTTCTCGGAGCTCCACAGCGGCTGAGTTTAGTCTGTGCGATGATATCACAGCACCTGCGCCTGGGACTCAATATTTGCTAACCTAATTAACAGAGCTAAAAGTAGGTTTTGCAGAAAACACAGCCACGGTCGAGCCCACTGGCCTTGCCCGACAGGCCTCGTTGTCATCCGACCGATTCCCAGGGCCAACCTTGGCCGACTCCCCGGCCTCCCGCACCGCCTCGGGTCCTCATTTCCGAGTCGCAGGGCGGCTGCAGATCCCGCCGCCACCCCATCCCATCCCCCAAAACCCAGCTGCCGCCGCCGCCGTCACCACCACCGCTACAACCACTACGACCACCACATCGCCGCAGTGTCGCCCGCACTACGCATGCTCGGCGGCGTGAGGCCGAGAGGCGTGTCCTTGATGCAGACCCCAGTACGCAGGCGCAAAACAGTCCCAGACAGAGCGGGGAGGTGCGTCCGGCGCGCTTGCTCTTTGGCTCCGCCCACCTCTCCTAGGCCCCCCCCCCAATTGGCGCGCACGCGCGCTGCAAGCGGAAGGGCGGACGGGCGCGCACACGAGGCCGGCGGGCGGCGGAAGCGGCAGAGACCGTCGGTGGGGGGAAGAGAAGCCGGCAAGTGCGCGCGCAGCGGGGGCGCGGGAGGCGTGGGGGGGTGGCCGGGCCCGGCGGGCGCGCGCACGAGGCTTACCCTTGCTCGGCGGCAGCAGCGGCGGCTTCTTTGTTTCGTGAGCAGAGGCGAGACGCCCACTCTGCCCCCGGCCCCGCGTGGAGGGGCGGGGGCGGCGCCGTGAAGGCGACGGCGCCGGCTGTTCCCGGTAAGGAACGCGGGCCGCGGGGGGAGCGCGGCGCGAGGCTTGGGGCGGACTGTTTGAATGGAGCCGGGGCGCCGAGGGTGAAGGGGGCCGCTGGCGCCTGGAGCGGGGCTGGGGTACGGCGGCGCCCGAGGGTCAAGAAGAGTGGCCGGCTCCGCGCGCGCGGCGCGGGCCACAGTGCAGCGAGGCCGCGGAGGCTACAGGATCCGCGGGCGGGTTGGGGGACCCCGGCCGCGTGGAGGCCGCGCGCACCCCCTCCCCCCGCGCTCGCTCTCGCCGGGGTCGCCGGACAAAGCTCGCGGCCTCCAAGGCTGGCCAGGGTCGTGGTCCCCAGTCGCCGACTCCGCCGCTGCTGCAACAATGGTCAGGCCATCGGGGCTTTTCTGGCTATGTTGTAACGGGTCAGACCCGAATGTTGCCTTTTTGGCGAGACTGCGGCCGGTGCTCAGTAAGAAAATACCCAACTGGGTCCAGGGGTCGCCTGGACGCCAGCTAATTAGCAAGCCCATTTTGGTTAGCTGACCTAAAATTTTATTTTTAAAAAATCACATATTCTAGATGCTCAAGGAAAGGTAAATAACTCCTCCAAACCCTTGCAAGTAGTGACTTCAAAATGTTTGCCCCGAAGTCGGGGGTCGGCAGCAAATGGGGGAGGGCGGGGAGAATTGTTTGCTGTTGAAAGTATTCTTTAAGCGTTGCATCCTTTTCCCTTCCTCCCAACAGATTATCCACATTAAGGCCTAAACGTGGATCTTTCAGGCGAGTGTTTTGTGCCGGCCTTGAAGACACTAGTCTTGATATTTTTCCCCACAGTGAATCCTCGGGGAAAGTAGGGAGTAAGGGTGAGAGCCACTTCCTCGGAATTTGAAGTCAGCTTTCAATTTGAATTGACACACCGGATTCGAGTTTTATTTCTGGTGCTGTCTGGTCACTTAGCTGTGTGACTTTAGGCAGATAGCTTAATCTTTCTGAACCTCATTTTCTCGTTTGTGAATGGGGGGATAATGCCACAAATGGAGTCGGTGAAAGCCTGTAAAATGGTTCCTGGCAAGAGGGAAGCACTTTTGTTACTGTCTGGTCCAGTCTCCTTTGTTCAGCAAATATCTGTTGAGACCCTACTGGGTGTTAGATGGTTCGGGGTTGGATGCCCTGAGGAGTCTCCCCAGTCTTGTAGGGGAACAGGCAGTAAATGTGGGAACAACTCCCTCAGCCTATCATTTAATCCTCACAACCCTTCTTATGAGAGGAGCATAGTGGATGCCCAGGGGAGTGATGGGAGCGGGAGGCCCGGGAGGCTGCCAGAAGAGGGGGGCCTTTACTGAGAATCAGGGAGGATGTCCAGGCTTATGTTTGACCCCTGTACCAGTCATTGCTCCCCTCTGCAAACACTGGCTCATTGCACTGATCCTTTCCTATGTTGCAGCTAACACTTATAATTAGTTTCTCCTGTCCAAGGGCTGTCATATCAGGGGTCTAGCCTGCCTGGACTCCTGCACTGTATCCGGGCCTGGCACATAGTAGGCCTAAAGTGAACATTTGTGAAATGAATGAGAAGGGTCCTAGGGAGGACTGAGTGTGTGTGTGGGAAGTGCTTGGCACAGGACCAGGATTGGTTGGCTTGTAAGCAGTAAACATTAGTTGCTGTTGATGGTTTTTTAACTTCTGGAACACTGTTTCCCAAACCTCATTCCCTGGCGGTTAGTATGCGGTGGTGTTGAGGCATTCTCGTTCTGGAATCAGATCTCTGAATTTCCCCCTAGCTCTTTAAATCATAACTGGACCCCGAGCAAGGCACTTACCAGTAGGTACCCCCACTTGTGAAACAGGTGGGACAGCAGTGCCACCTCCAAGGATAGTTGTGAGGCTTGACAAGACAACGGTGGAAGTATCTTAACTCACTGCGGTGCCGGGTAACACTGTGAGCACTCAGCTGGTGGGCGTGCATAGCATCCATTTAATATATATATTTGTAAATTAACTGTTTAAAAACCAAAAACATCAGTTTAGATCCATCCTATATCTCAGAAACCCCAGGTTTGATGTGCTAGTTATGTTTTTTTTTCTCTAATTTTCTTCAAAATCAATGCATATGTAATTAGGAAAACAATAAACGTCCTTCCACATGCCGTCTAGAATTATTTTGTGTCTAACCTTTCAGGAGATGTTGATCTTGCAGGGTTTTGAGCCAGGAGGGTGACATCACCGGAGCTGGGGTGTAGGGCAGTGCAGTGGTCTCCAAACTTTTTTTGTCAGTGAAAAGCACCCCCAACACATATGCATATGTGTTTACTTAGCTTTGCCACTGCTTGTGGATCCTCAAAACATTTGGGAGGTGGCCCCAGGTCAGCTGGCTCTGGGTCTTAGCTGTTTATCAGATGTGGAAGAGATGAGGCATGATGGGGAATGTCTGCTGAGAACACCATTCCGTCAGTGAAGACACCGAGGCCCAAGAATATTTCTTTACATGGCATCCCCTGCCAGCCATCCGGGCCCAACTCCTGGAAGTGGCTTTGCCACTTGCCCTCCTGGTGCCTTAGAAAAATGGGACGACAGTCCCTGGAATAAAGTAAGTTCTGAGATGAGCCAGCTGACTTTTGGTCTTGGTCACCAAGGCTGCTATGGTGCAGAGGGACCCATTCACACTGACCATACTCCACACAGTGTGAATGATGCCCCCTGGAGTTGTGTAGGAAATGGCCCGGCCATGCATTCCATTCATGTAGCAAACAAGCATGCATTGGGCGTCAGTGGGGAGCCAGGCACTGCTGGGAGCTGGGGGTTCGTTCAGCTGGGAACAAGTAGACACTGACTGTTCTCGCTCATATCAGTCTCCTTATTTGCCAAGGGGGACAGTAATAGTACCAACTAGTAGGACTGTTGCAAGGACAACAACAAAATGACAAATGTAAAGGGCTTAGAACAGTGCCTGGCACATAGTGCTAGACAACTGATAGCTGCTTTTGTTAGGATTCCCATAGCATCCTGCTGGGTTGAGACCTAGAATGTATTTTTGCCCCATTATAATGGTTCTGTATGTGTTCAGAATGGTAGCAAAGGAGTCGGCTCCCCCATTTTGTCCTTAACTTAAAGATTGTGCACTTTACAATTTCACTGTAAGGCCTTGGAAAGAGGGAAGTGTGTTTGGTGGCGTGGGTTTTGAAAAATAGCAAATGTTTGTTTTCCATCTCAGTATTTCCTCCTAACTTGTAACACTGATGTGAACACACAAGAGAGTCGAAGTTAAAAAAGTAAAATTAAGGGAATGTGCAAAACCTGTAACGGAAGTAACAGCTGTTGGAATACTAGGAAATGTTTAAGGGGAACAGGTGAGAATCGAGTCCGAGGCCACTGGAGCTGACCTTACGGACCCCTCATCCCCAAGCAGGGTTAGGCTCGTTAATACGATCCGTGATACCTTGGTTGGCCTTTTCTCTTAACTCCGTGCTGATGATAGTCATCTTTCAGGATGTGAGTTTCAGGCGTAAGAAATTGAGCCTCCGCTCATCTCCCTGCTGGGAAAAGGGCCTTTAGGGGAAATGCCAGGTGTTAGCTGGGTTTGTTGGGAGATGGGATTTCTTCCAGGGCAGAAGGAAGGGAAGGGATGCATCGTTTCCCTCCACTTCCCTCAAGGAAGAGGCTTCCTTTAGAAAATAGATCAGAGTTAACAGAGGATCACCTAGCCCTGGCCCCCCTAGCCTTTACACCCTAAAGGGGTTTGGGACTCTGGTGACTTTGCTAAAGGGGCATGTCTTCATTTTTGGGCGTGGACACGTCACTGGGAACAGTCCGAGTTTTGTTCAATGTGAGGTTCACCAGCCATGAGTGAAATAAAGGAGGATGGCCCCAATTTCAGTAGTGATGGGCTTTCAAATTGCTCCTGGGGTGGTTTAAGTTCTCCTTTCGCTGGCCGGTCATGGCTCACTGGCTCAGGAAGCAGGTGGCTGCATGGCAGTTTCCCTCACCTGTTACAGAGGGGGCAGGGTTAGATGTGTGCAACCCTGCCTTACCCCAAAAGTCCCAGTAAAGTGGCACAGTAGATGGTCTCATTGTCTTAATGGTGACCCTGAAGCGTAGGAGGCCTCTGCCCTGGTGGCTGCTGAGGATGTCACCTGTCACCGCCTGGACAGCTGGCGTGCTAAGAGTCCTTGCCCGCCTCCCCAGAATACTCACTCTGTGGATGCTTCGGCCTGTTGGAGTGCTTCTCTTTGCCTGCACTTTGCACCCTTCCAGGCTCTCCTCCTCCAATGCCTTTTGGTCCTCAGTTTGAATCAATTACTCGGGGCTTGGAGTCAGACTTGAGGCAGGACTCAACTTCCTGTGTGACTTTGGGCAAGTGACTTAACCTCTCTGAGCAGAAAACCCCCTGTTCCCAAGCTGCCCTTCCAGTCGTGAGTATTGAATGGAGGGGATGTGAACTGGAGCAGAAATCCAACCTGGCTGGGATTTGCCAAGCCTGGTTCCAGCTCCAAGAGAGGGACGCCTTTTATATTTCAAATGGCACCTAACTGACTAAGG